TTCCTATAAAAATTCTTATAGTATGTTGAGTATGTAATAGACTTATTATCGTCAACATGTAAGGAATTTAAATATGTCTATCTGAATCTTTACAAACTACATTCATTGCACCTAGGAGTAATCTTTAAAAAAAAAAAATGTTTATTGTTATTTATGGTTCCATGAAGAACCTTTAACAGCCATGGAATCTTTCCATTGCACAAAAAAAGTGAAAAAAGTTTATTAGATTATTAAAATGTTCCTCACTCCAAGAAAAAACAAAATGGTTCTTTTAAGAATTGTTCACTGAAACATTCTTTGGGAAATCCCAAAATGGTTCTTCTATGGCATCACTGCAAACCCCCCTTTTTGAGACCTTTGAGTTATTTCTTATGAACTAGAAGTACCCTTACAAAAGAATATTTCAAGTTCATTTTATTAAGTAAACTTGAGTAAAGTTCAAGTATATTTTCCAAGTACAATTTATATAAGTATACTAAAATCAATGCTATGTACAATGTATAAGTTTAAGCATTTCAATACTTCTTGGGACTAAATTGGCACTTTTTAAATTCATAAAAGTATACTCTTAAGTGTACCTTCAGTTTAATAGTAGTAATCCTTGAGTACACAACTGGTTAACTTCATTTTTTCTTTTGTATTGCGATTTAAAACTATATTATGAACTTTAAAGCATATACTCTTACACTCTTCATTTTACTGTTTCTCTTTTGGAACAAGCATTAAATAATGTAGTCCATGGGTAAAACCAGACAAATTGTCAACTGACCCAGCACGTCAACCAATTGAATGCAAAGGCTGAAATAAAAGCCTGTAGTTTAAGGGGGAAGCAAACGTTTCTTTTTAAAAAAAAATTGGTATTTGTTTGACCTGTTTTTATATAGGCCTCGACCTCGACAGTACAAAATGTTTCTTGATATAATATAAACAGTAAGTGTGGGTCAATAAACACAATTTATTTCGCCGTTCGAACGTTCTATGACCAAAAGAGCTGCAACTATGTTTTAAGACACACAACCTATATCAGGGTCGGTGTTGTGCCGAATTTTGCACCCCTGCCAGATTATGCATGCCCTCGTTGAAATCGCTACCTGATTGCCTAATCCCAACCCCACACCTACTCCTAAACCTACCAATACTAGCCCAGGTAGCCAGCGCAATCGGGCCAATTGCGGCTGAGTCGCAGCTCACTCGGCTGTGTGCTCTGGCCCAGTAATGGTTGCCAGATTTGGCTAGGCTTTGGATGTGCAGATCTAGCCCGATTTGCACTGAGACACGGCATATTTAGCCACATTCGGCCCGATTACGGACCATAAGGGCTGGTCAGATATTGGCTGAGATATGGGCATGCAGACCCGGACCAGTTTAGGTTGAGTGCTGGGGGTAGGTCTCCGTTTACAATGTGGTAAATAGTATGTAGCAGTGACACTTAAACTATTAATTATTTAATTCATATAATGAAACAAGCTTAAAGTGGTTAAGGGAACTTTAAACATTTTTTGCTATATGAGTTTCAAGACATGCAGCTTTGACATCTAATGACAAAACCTGATAGGCTTTTCGTGCTGACCAGAAAAACTTGCTACCCTGGTGAGTAAACATTTTATAATCTAACATATAATATCATTTTAATAAACCGTTCTACACATATAATACTACACATATAATATCAAAATAATGTTTATTTTATAATGAAGCTATAATTGTGAGTTCGCTGACATATGTCGCGTTCCAGGCAACCCGTAACCCGTGTTTTTCCAACCTTCTACCCGTGAAAGTGCACTGGAATGGCAGTCAAACCCGTGACTTCCCACCCGTGAACTCATAATAGATCGATGTACTCCCAGTTCCGCGCTCTGACGTCACATAGCCCGCGAAACAACAATGGCAGCCCCTTTCTGTCAAGACTGCAGCTGTGCACAGAGCCTATACAGGGGGTAGTGCAAATGACATACTTGTATAACAAAATAATCTGTTTATTCTAGAAGTTTGTTTACATCTAGCTACCACAATTCCTTGCGCTCAGGCAGTTTGGTGTGACTTGCCTGGAACGCTACAAAGTCGTGAGTTGTGGTTTGAAGTCGTGACTTACGGGCTCAAAAACCTGCCTGGAACGCAGCATTAGCATGCATATGATTAACCTGTAAGTCCTAATAAAGCACATATTATGCATCCCTAATCCTGCCCAATACCTAAATTTAACAACTATTTGACAACTATTAATAAGCAGCAAATTAGTCGTTTATTCAGACCAAAGTCATCGTTAATGGTGTGTTAATTGTGAGAATTGGACCTTAAAATAAAGTGTGACAGAGAAATTTCCAATCTATACATCCATCACGTGGTCTGGATTCATACGACTCGATCAGTCTATACTTTTTAAAGAATTGAATGATTGGTATTTGTTTCACTATTCAAATTCAACTCCACAAATGCACACATTTTCAAATTATCTCACTTCGTAAAGATAACATTGTGGGTGGGACTAACAGAAACAGACAAATCATTTTGACAAGTGTATGGTATTCATCTAGGAAAAGGGAAAACTATGAAACTGCCTGAATTTGATAATGCAAACTTGCATTTAATCATTTTTTAAAACTAATATCAAGTCATTGTGTGATGATGATTATTATTATCATCATTTAATAAATTACATGCATTTGAAAAATGACCAACTTCTCATTGGGTGGGCCACAATTAACAATGCTTTGCTACTGATCAGATGAAAGAAGGCATGTACAGTAGTAGAGTGTGTACAACAAAGTGTTGATCATCGTGTAACTTTTAAATTTGTGTATCAAAAATGATACAGTAGGCTTGAAGTGAAATGTTGTATTTATGGACTTATTTGAAGTATAAATGTTGGCTGTTTTTCTTTCTCTCTCTCTTCCACAGAGAGAAATGGCAATAACGCGCTTGGCTTGACTTTGCACACTGTAAATATGTATTTTATTTTAGTTGGAAGTAGATGCCATCTTAAGGATTTTAAGGTAACAATGTCATTTTCTGGAAAAACAAATTATTCAAAGCTCTGGTTTAATATCAAAACTGGAAGGAGTCTTTAATACACATATTTTAGAAGTTGTAATTCTGTATGAGTAAGTGTGTGTGTGTATATATATATATATATATATATATATCACACCAACCAAAATGGTACTCTTAGCCAGTACTGACCCGAGTCTGGGTACTGAAACTGAGCCAACACCACCAGCATTGGGCCACAATCATGCCAACCAAAATAGTACTCTTAGCCAGTACTGGCATGAGTCTGGGTACTGAAACTG